AGAAAATAGCACAGTGAGTCCATTTCATTTCTGATACCCAGAAATGCTCAGCAGTACTGAAATAAAATGTCACAGACTGTGCTAATTCCAGCTGCCACAGGGGAAATCTATGGGAAGACAGGCAAGAGAATTAGCTAAGAATTCTGCTGTTGAGACCCTGTTCAACCCTTCCCTATGACCATGAGAATGAAGACTAGGGACAGAAAAATGAACAGAAAGTTGTTTTTCCTCACAGCTTTATCTAGCAAATAGTTTGAAAAGTAATACTCTGCAAATAAAAGCTGAAGAATACACACAAGGTCAGCAAACAGCACACTGATTAACCTGGAGGTACACGCAAGTGCAAAAGTTCACATCTGATGAAGACTCTTATTTCTGAATTTCCTGGTAGCATTCCCATCAACTGCCCCACACCAGTGAGCTAAGACACACTTTTTGAGCCAAAAAGACATCAATCTTCAATGCCAAGTAGTAAACATTTAGAAATACAGATTATTATAATAAATATTACAGTTTAGACACATTAAACATTTAATTTAGTGGTAGACATTTAATAAGGAATTATTGTAAAGTGAATCTTGAAACTGGTCCATGGCATTCACTCTTACACTACAAGAAAACAGAGCACATTAATAAGGTATAATGGCTTGGTGTGAAAAAAAAAAAAAAAGTCTCACCTAACCTAGAGTTCTGGCAAACACAGATGTTCTGCAGTTTCAGGCAACAAAATGAGTACTTCACCAGGACTAAGAAATTTTATCTACGATAAACTATTCAATCCTACTTTTCACATGGTTTCTCTCTTGATTTTAGCATCACTTAATCTGATCGTCATTGGAGTAATCATATAGGTGCAGACTAACTACTGCATTAGAAAACTGAAAGTGGGTGATCTTAAAACACAAGAAACCACCATTCAAAAGTCATTTCAGAAGCACATGAGAAGGTCGAGTCAAATGCTTCAAAGAAACACTCCACTGAGCAGGTAACACAGCACAATGTAATGTATAAAACGCGAATGATCTCAAACTTTCAAGATGTAATTGCAGAACTGTCACCCATGTAAGGGCATGCTTACAAACCCTTCCCCCAAAAAACTTTACACAAAGCAGCCTTCTTAGTTTGAAAATAGGCAATGCTTCTTGTACTGTTATATTTTCCAGGATTCTTAGCCTTGGATGTTACCTCCAATATGTTGGGCTGTGCAAACATATTTCTTGTCCAATTTTACAAGTGTCTTTTGGAACAGATAAGTAACTTTTATCCAAAGTTAAAGATATTTTACATTATGATTATGTATCATTAAAAATAAGTGATAGCCTGAAATATGCATAAAATAGCTTTCAACAAGCATATTTCCTTAACAGGCTAAAATACATGGTGTGATTTTAGGTAGTTATTATGTAATTTCCTTAACTTCCAGTATGGACAGGCCTTGCTTTTACAACATAGTTATTTTAATGATGGCATTCAGAAACCTTGACTAAAACAGATCACTTGATAATTGCCATCAAAACTGTTGGCAACAAGAGAATGGGCTAAGCATACTTCAGACCTCACAAAAGCGTTATCAAATTTTACTTAACAAGAATCAGTAAACAAAGCAAAAGTAAATAAGGAAAGGGCTGGGTACTGTCAGATTAGATTTTTAAAAAGGTCAGTTACAGACATGTGAACTCAAACAAAAATAGCTTGCAGGAGAACAGATATCAGACATTAGGTCATTTAATCCATTCCCTTGGCAGTTCTGTATTGTTCTCAACTTCACATTGCAAGCGCTTTTGTTTATAATGTCGGAGAGGAAGCAAGGGATGGAGGGAAGAAAGTAAATTGTCTCTGGAGGCTAAAGCAAAAAAAAAACCCACATGAAAGAAACACAAGCCAGAAAATGACAGCATAGGAAAAACAGAGCTGATTGGAATCCATGAAAGAGGAAGATACAGAGCTGCAAAGATGTTCATAATTTAACTGAGAAATTGAAAGCAAAAGTTTTTAACAGGATGGTGCAACAAAATTCTTGCCTACAGGAACCTGCTGTAATTTGCTGACTAAATAAAAAGAACAAAGTATATAAGATTTATGAGATCAATGGGACAGGGAAGTTGAGAAGCAAAATGGCTTAGGCTTTTCCCAGCACTCATATTGGGGTAAGTGGTACCAACCACATTCCTTGTTCCTCCACCCATCCAGCTGTTTGTAAAGCCAGGTAGTAAGTGAAAAGTTAAGTCACATTTTCTTTCTCAACCTAATTGTGTGATCCACCTCACCAGATTGATATAGAAATGGTTATGCTATCACTAGTGAGGGAGGCCACAGAGGTACGCAGGACAAAATGAAGCAAAAGAGGATCATAGGAAAAGGGAACTGTTTAAAATGACAGAGCAAACAAAAATGTTCACAATGCTGTGGTTTACAATAAGTTTGCACTGTCACAAAGTACATTTTATCCCTATTTTTGCCACAGAATTCATTCATGACTCTAGATAAACTACTTAAAAATCCTGTTTCAATGGACACTTCAGCTACATTTTAGGGGTGCCTCTCCTAAAATCCGAGTGATTGATTTGCAAAAGTAGAATAGCTTTAGGCCGGTTATTCAACTAATTTGCACCTGCACACTTAAAATAAACCAGGGCACCAAACTCAATACCCTAAAAAAATAAATAAAAAATCAGGTCCTACCCTGGATCAGATTTGGTCTCCATAGTTTTATCTTTCATTCTTCACGTGGAGTGAGAGGATGATTATTTCTTTGTCTTAGGAAAGTTTTGTCAATTAAGGGGCGGATTTTTTGATTACTGAGATATTAAGGTGATTCCACAGCCAAAGCAGAATATGAACACAGGTTTGAGTCATGTTTAGAAAAAAGTCATGACATCACATGACCTAAGTAATGAGGACAAGGCCAAAATACTTACTCTTTTTAATAACTTGAGTCTAACAGGAATTTTTTATGTAACAAACTATTTTATTACTTAACAGAAAACTCATTCAATCTAGATGTATGAAGAGGCTGAAATAAAGCTAACTAAAAACTTCAGTTCTCCTTCATTTGTTAGTGCTTCTGGAAATGGCAACATTAGTACAGTTACTCCAACTGTGTGTAACTATCCACTTCTAACAAAGCAAAACTCTTATAAGCTTGACACTTAATTGGTTATAACACGTAACACAAATGCAATGCTTTGCCATTTGAGCTGATACGTTATCTTGCTGCATTAGGTGGACACAAATTATGGATGAATTTGCACGAGAATGGGATAATCCATGTTTTGCCTGGGGATTTTGTGGTTTAATTCCTGGGGATTAATTCCAAGAAAATGGGGATACTGAGGAATTCCAGGTTCTTTCCTAAACTGTTCTGGAATATAATTTTTTCTTGTCTAAAAGAGGCTGAAGTAAGATGGCTGAACAGATGTGTAAAAAGTCTAACTTCTTTCCTTCCATGCAGTTTTCTTCCACAGAAATTCCCTATGCCCTCCTCTCTGGCTTCTAATCTCAACTCCCCTGGCCCAGCCAGAAGTAGTCTTGCAAACTCACCCTTACTACAATGTAAGTCACCTCTCACACTTGTAAACCTCCCCCACAACCACTTTATCAATGGCACTCCCTCTGCTCAAGGCCCAGAATGCGTGACGCTGCAGTTGCACAATCCCTTTACACAGGTGTTTGCGTCCCTGTGTGTATAGATGCTCAAGTGTATGTAACCCCCCCAGCGCTTCTACATACATATCTATTTGTCCATATACAAAAAATAACAAACCCTTTCCCAACTCATCACATGTCGTTCCTTGAGCTAACATAAGCATCTCTATGGCAGGGCAGAGAACCAGCTGTATTAACTAGGAGAGAATGGGGAGAAGATGGTGCAGAAGGTGGCAAAGAACACCAGGGCTGCAGAAAAAAACATGACTAGAATTGTTTTCCAGTGACAGCCTATATTAATAATAAAATTTAAGGTGTTGATTTTAACCTAGAACACCAACATCTACATAACTGTCCCCCTTCTCCCCCTAGACTTATCTATGACAACAGGGTTATGAAAATTTGAGATTATTTTGAGTGTCTTCATTTGCTTAGTCTTCCCTTTACTCACTGGTTCCATTCCTCTTTGTTTTGTTCCCAGCCACTGCTTGCTCTTCTACCCCTCAACCAACACATCATTCAATCCCAGTTTCAACTGTGATAACATAAAGTCTCTCTACACCCCTCTTGCTTTCTGCGGATATGAATTGTTCTCTTGCCAGTACCAGGCCTAGAAGAGGTCCATTGGACCTCTGGAGAGTCAGGCTAAGAGCTTCCTTCCATACACCTACCCACCCTCAGCATCTTATGGCTTCAGCTTCACTGCCTGTCCTGGCTACTGCAGGTCTAACACAGGTGGAGGCTTTGAGCGGCCCCTACAAAAGTGGAAAAAGTTTTAACAGGCAAGTGAAAGCTTCAGATGGTTTTGGTTTAATTTTGTTGTTTCGCTTTGGTGGTGGTGCCGTTTAAAACTTAAAAGAAACTGCCTCTTTTGGAGGCAGCCACTGAACTCTTTCGGAAAAGAAAGTCCGCAGCATTTTTCCCTTTGTTAAAAATATTTTCCTCCCTGGCTTGACTGGAAACGGCACAAACCCCTTGAGGGAAGTTTTCCGGGCGGCTCCGCCAGCGCCAGCCGCCGCCGGATACCACCAAGGTAAGGAGGGCAACTGAGCACGTTCCCCTCTTCTCCCCATGGAGGTCTCCCCAGCCGGGACCCCCGCTCCCGCTCACCCGCAGGGTCCCTCACACACGGCCCCGTTCCAGGCGGCCCCTTCGCTTCCCCGAGACACCGCACGGCTCCCGGCCGTACACCGGTAGGCAAGGGGACACGGCCTGCCGGCCCGGACCCTTCCCCCGGCGCGGTTGCTCGCTTCTCTCCCGGGACACCCCTGCCCGTCTCGACCGCGCTGCGCTCCTCCGTCCGGCCCAGCCCACGCGACGGGGCAGGAGCCCTCACGGCGCTGCCCCACACTCACCGCTGCCGCCCGAGGCGAGGATCCGCCGGGACAAAGCGTAGCGCGCAACGGAGATGGCCCAAGCCGCCAACCCCACGCTACCACCACCGCACCCGCTGACCCTGAGCTCCCCAGCGCGTGCCCGGAGGAGCAGCCGAAGCCTCCGCGCATGCGCCGCCGGCGACTCCCCCTGCCGACCGCCAGGGGCGGCCGTGAGGTGGGGCGAGGGTGGCCATCTGCTGGAGGTGTTGCGAGCCCGGCCGCCGTCTCGCATTGCGCCGCTGACCTTCGGCTGTGCCGTGCCTTCCTCGGAGGCTCTCTAATGGGCTGGGTTAGGGGTCAGCGGCTCCCTCCCCGGCGCAGGGTGATCCCTTCCGCCGCTCCCATGGAGGACCCCCCCCCCCTTCGGCTGTCACCCTTGACCCAACAGCCCTCGGGACGGTCGAAAATGAGGACACTTCGGCAGTTGCCTCATCGCTCCCAGGCGTTCCCAGTCTTAGTTTCTATGCGTTTGTCCATAAGGGTACACGCAGCCTTTCCTTGTGGTAGGGAGGTCACTTGTACCACCCCACCACCGGCAATTGATGGAGGCCTAAAAATGACAGGAGAAGTTATGATTTAATTACAATTTACCCCTTCACCGTGTCGCCGGGAGTGGCTGTATGGAGGCAGTGAGTCTTGCTCCCCGGGGATCTGGGCTTTTGGAGGTGCTTGGATCTCACCTTCCTGGTAGGTGCATTTCAGGAACCCTAAACCCCTGGTGTCTCACATAAATTGAGGGTAGATTGCCTTTTTTTTTTTTTTTTTTTTTTTTTTTGTGCTGCCCAGAATTGGTCCTTTATCTGAAACCAAAGGGTTTGTTAGCTTCTTTTTTAGGAAGGGTTTGTGACAAGTACCTTCAGGTTTGCCTCTATGATTTTTAATGGATACGCATGGAAAGAAGAAAGAAGATAAAGCTGCTCAGAAAACTCATGGCAAATTAATAATCCCTACCTGACTTCAAAAGCGCTGTTGTCAGTGGTGCAGTGGCCTGGTTATAAATGACTTAGGAATGATTCACAAAAATAACAGCTCAGCTTGCCAGAAGAGAGATTGAGCTCTAAATGGTGTGGAGCGTAAAATGCCATTTATTCCATGAAAATGGAAGTAAAGCTCCCTATAAATATGCTTTTTTTTTTTTTTTTTTTTTATTTTTACACTGCTGTGCCTTCTCATTCAATGCTCTGTGGCTTCAATTTTTAATGGATTACTATGCTGTATACCAGTACTTTTTACCTTTAATTTTATATTAACAGACAACTGGCAATGAGCAGGGAGAAGAATGAGGTAATTGTACAGTCACAGAGCCATTTAGGGAACAGAAAGATGAGACACAGTTTGTAATAGTTCAGACATGTCTCAGCTTCTTTAATGGATCTTGGCCTATAATTAAAAGTTAGTGCTTTCATATATGCCAACTGAGGGCTGGGACTGAGACCATCAGGATTTAAACAAAATAAATGACGCTAATATATCTGACAGTACTTGGACAGAATTATCTAGAAATTCAAATCCCTTGAAACAGTAGAAGAAAAAATACCTGTGCCGCTTGAAAGTTCGCTGAGAGCCTGATAACAAATGGCCATCAATAAGTCCCATATAAACTTCTTGTGTAGCTGAATCCATCAGGGTCACATTAAGTTTAAGGAGAGAGAAAAAGATAAGGTAGTTAATAATCATTGAAAGTAGAATCACATGTAGTATACCTTTGGTAGTTCACAGTTCTCTCCATTTATGAGTCGTTAGTACCCTTCATTGGTGTTTCATTTGAGCTCTTCTAAACAAAATGGACTTCACAGAAGACAGTCCTTCTAGCGTTGTTGAACTGATAGTCAAAACTACTCCACAGAATTTATTCCAGTTGGATATTAAAAAGTATTTCAATAAAGCCCTCAATCTTACCCATTCATTCATGTCTGTGAAGGACAAAATCTGTATCTAGAAAAGAATAGTTCAACTAAACAGAAAATTCAATGTTATCTACATAATTAGATTTTAATTTATTTGTTTAAAGCATTGATTTTTATTACCTCAAGACTGTAGGTCAAAAGTCAAAGCTGAGAGGAGAAAAGGTGCTTTGAAAGTTATATAGCACCATTAGCAGTGTAATACTTAATATTTATAGTTGAAATGCTGAGAAGGCAGAGGCACACTGTACAAGAAAAAACTCTGTACAGAGAAGATAAAAACAATGTCCCAAATAATTTTCATGTTTCATTTTGTATTACATTTGTCACAGTAAGAGGTATGTTAAATGAACATGGATTCTTACACACTTAAGATAGTTTACCTTTTGCATGGAAAAGTTCTTGTGAACCCATTTGATCTCTTGAAGATTGTCACTTTTATAAGGGCCATATACTTCCAGCTGTCTGCAGACACAAAAGATGTTATTTCTGACAAATTTCTAAACTCCCTGGTTGCAAAAATTACCTCAAGGTATGAGCAACTTGCATAAATTACAACAATCACCAGTCATTTTGGTTTGTTTTGAGCACTAACCTACCTTGAGATGGCTTCATTACTGGTAGAATAGAAAATTCTTTTAAAGTTATTCTAAGTTTCAGCTGCCCTTTGTCTGCAGCCAAAGTAGTAAAATGTTTGCCAAGAGAACAGTGACATGGATATAAGGAGGAAATTCTTTCCTGTTAGGGTGGTGAGTCGCTGGAATAGGTTGCCCAGGGAGGTTGTGAATGCTCCATCCCTGGCAGTGTTCAAGACCAGGTTGGACGAGGCCTTGTGTGACACAGCTTAGTGTGAGGTGTCCCTGCCAAAGGCAGGGTGGTTGGAACTAGATGATCTTAAGGTCCTTTCCAACCCTAACTATTCTATGATTCTATGTTGAAGACTGCCTGAATAGCATGAGAAAAAACACTTGATTTTCAAATGCTGAGAGTCTGATATTTCAAGGAATGTTTAAGTTTTGCCAATAGCAATTCAAAACTGAAGATGAAAATCTAAAATTTTATATGCAGTACCGACAGACTTTCATCACAATTTCTTTTATGAAAGAAAATTTTGTGGTTGCTTTTTTTTTGTGTGTGTGTGTCTCTGATAACAATTGCACCAGTGAGAAAAACACTGTTATTGCTTATGTTGAGAATACTTTTTAGGACTAGAAAAGCATCTTCAGTGCTGTGAAAAAGGAATTGAGGGAAGATTCAAATCATTTAGAACAAAAAATACCTTTTAAATTATGGTATTGTAATTGCATTTGAAATACAGATAACTTTATATTCTATTTGCAGTTTGGTCTGAATCATCAGAACATCTTTTTTGAATTGTAGACACATAATTCACTGATGTTTTATTTATTTATTTTCTAAAATTAAATTGTATTCTGTAATTCAATATACAGATACCTATTAGTTTTAAACAGAATAAAAATAAAAGGGCATTTTATGAGTCGGCTGCAAGTTTAAAAATATCTTACTAAATAAATGATGGGAAAGGTACAAATTTTAGAAACTGTGTATACCTTAGACTAGAATATTCTTCAGAATAATGGCCTCAAGTTTGTCCTAAAATAACACCACTTGAAATTTCCATAGTGTGGACAAAAAGTAGTGGCCAGCTCTATTAGGTTGCTTGAGAGAGTAAGATGCCTTCCTCAGAATGGTCTCAACTGACCTTTTGCTTTTTCCTGTAGTTGATTTGGACCAATTTTCATGGAAAAGGCTGAATTTCCCTACCTGCCTGCCACATCTTAATGGATGTACTGTTGATGTGATTGTCCCTGCTGGTAAGTGAGAGTGGGATATCTAGTGCCGTAACTGTCCCTCTCACAAGACAGCAGGAGAGGCAGTCTGCTCTTCTCAGCTCAGTCTCTTCGTTGCTCTGTGAAGCAGCAGTTCTTGGTCCTTCTTCCTGTCCTTTCCCCATAGTTGTCTGTAACCTGGAAACTGTTTGGCAAATTGCTGCTGGTAGGACAAGAGGTAACAGCCTCAATCTGTGCCAGAGGAGGTTTAGGCTGGATATTAGGAAAGAATTCTTTACCAAGAGGGTTATCAAGCACTGGAACAGGATGCCCAGGGAAGTGGTGGGATCACCATTCCTGAAAGTGTTCAAAAACTGTGTGGATGAGGCCCTTAGTGACATGGTTTAGTGGTGGACTTGGCAGTCCTGGGGTAAAGGTTGGATTTGATGGTCTTAAAGGTCTTTTCCAACCTAGTTGATTGCAAGATTCTATGATCTGCCTGTCTTTGGAAGGCAGGAAGTTTTTCTGTAATAATTTACAAATGCTTGCCACAAGTTGTTTGAATATCTGTTATTCAACCATATTTGTTTAACTTAATTAGAGGTAGTTGGGAAATAACCAGGAAAGGCAATAGATTAAAAAATTCTTTATAAAGGCTAGGAGACAATATTTAACTTGGTAATTATGCAGTATTTTCTTCCTTGATTCCAGACACATTGTACAGTTTGTTTGTGAAGGCTTAGAGCCAAAAACTCAACAGAGCAATGAAAAAGTTAAAAAAACCCTCTGTGAATAGAGGACAAGAAATGTCACAGCCATAGTGGGAGAAAGCAAACTGACATTGAGCCTTAGTGAAAGGAGTAGAAGCATAAAAGCAGACCAATCCTTAACTAGAAGTCATTGGGGAATCTTACAGTTATCCTCCTTACTTTCTCCTCAGAAATTAATCAAGTTTTGAGGACACAGTTTAATAAAATTTAAATTGGGAAAGGTATCTATGTTCCAAGGTAGAATTTCCAGACAGAATGAGACCCATTAGCGCAGGTAATAAATTTGCTGTATAGGTACTTTCCTTGGATTTTTGAAAACAAACTCGAATCCCTGCTCTTCTGCTTCTTGTACATGAGGTGGGGAAACATTTGGGTCCCACTTCTTTGAGATGTCTCACTTCATAAAAATAATTCACCAGAACAGCAGTAGTAAACATCCCTGGAAACCCTAACTTCCAGTTAATCTGAATGACTCTTAGTTTTCATGAAAAATATCATAAACCTCAGTTTCTTCCCAACTTCTGTTGTGGTATAGAAATAAGCTTTTTGTACATTTTAACAAACAAATCAGTGTCCATTGGTTGAGAGTTACACACTTTATTCATTAATTAGTATTCTACCCCTTATTGGTTAAAAGTCCCTCTCACCTCTCATGCTGATCAGGTATGCATGCTCAGTCTTTCTTTTCTTTTGAGT